GAGAGGAGAGGAGAGAAGAGAAGAGAAAAAGAGAAGAACGAGGTCGCCGAGGCGCCGGCGTCGTTCTCGTGACCGGCTAAACGTCTAATTGCACGCACGCACGCGTGCACGTTCAGATGCTTCTCTGAATCGGGGCAGTGACCGGAAATTTACATTTTTATTGCCGCCACTCGGTGAATTCGAACGACTGATAAGGATGTAGGGCTCGAGATTGGGGATGATTTAGTAGACTAGAGAATTTTTTTTTTTTTTTCTTTTCTTTCTTTCGTTTTTCGAAACGATTGAGGAGGAATTGTGGTTTATGTATTTTTTGACTCTTGTGTGGATATCGGTGTATGGAATTGTATTGCAATTTAAATGAGAGAATTTTTTTTTATAAGATTTTTTTTTAATAGGATATCGATTGAAGTGTAGGAGAAAATTGTTCTGACATTAGGAAAATATATTCTAGTTTGAATTAAAACATGCAATAAATTCGATATTTTTTTTTTTTTTAGAAATTTGATATGGATTATTGGAAATATAAAATGTCATAGAATAAATTGTGAATTTTGAATTGTATGACGAATTGTTGATAATGAATATTAATCATAAAAAGAAAAAAAGGATAATCCTTTTTTAATTGGACAAAGAAAAAATATAAAACTAATTGCGATTCTGACTTCAATTGAAAATACTTATATAACACAATTTAAAAAATTGATATCTGCGAAACATTTTTATTTGATATACGATAAAAGCAAATACATATTGTATAAAATATACATATGTAACATGAGGATACATATAAAAATGATGATGAAACAAAAACTTTTCTCTTAAAATGAAAATACGTTTCATCAGATAAAATGTATAACCTGTACAAGATTCTTTTTATCTCAACCAATAATCTTCTTTCATAAATCAGGGGATTTATCTTAAATTGCATCTTCTTATGCAATTAACTCAAAACTCTATAAAAAATAAAATAAACTACCAAATAAATAAATAAATATAAACGATATTTTATAAAATGACTCGTTAAACAATTAATATTTATAAAAAAAAAACAGCATGCAAGTAACAAAATAACTACGCAATCAATGTACCAATGAAATAACAGAGAATGAAATTGCAAAAAAAGAAAAAAACTACTCTTTTCTAAAAAAAGAGAAAAAAGAATCACGTAACTTAAAATCTGTTCGACTTCATGTCACGATCGATTAAACCAGAATCCAATAACGTGACGCACACGGAAGAAATCGCGTGAAACAGGAAACGTTTCCCTCGAACTGGAAAAAGTGCTCTATGTGGAACAGGAAATTGTTGATTCGAAGTCCCGGAGATGCTCAAGTCCCCGGGTTTAATCGATACTGTACTATTAAAGCAAAATTAAATCTCTATCTATCTCTCTCTCTCTCTCTCTCTTATTTTGCACGCCTACACAATCTGCAATCTACACAATATCACGAAACGTACGAACAGCTAGATTGTTCAAGGGTTAACGCTCTCGTAAGCAGGAAGTGAACTTTATCGTGCTGATCCGCGACGAGCGATACACGAGATAAAATTCGAAACTTGTAAAAGGCGCGCCCGATTAATTAAGACACCTGAGGGTGATGATAAAGTACAACATCCGTGAGAAAACGAGGGATGTTAATATCGCCTTTGCAAAATCGTTCGTGTTATTAGAAAGTATTGTTTTCGTTCATGGTTGGACGGTGGAATATTTTGAGAGAATGGAAGAATTTGAAAAAATTTTAAATTTCTGAGAATTATAATTAATTTTCGATTGGAGAATTTGAAGACATGTACAATTATATTACGAAATTAATAAATAGTTTATTTGTATTGTTGAAATTATAAATTTTAAAAAAATATATTGTTTAGAAAAAAGAAATGTTGGAATAATTCAAAGCCAATTCTAAAAAGAGTTTTATCTGTGCATTTAATTTCTTTTTTGTGATCATTAAATAGAATTATTTTTTTTTTTTTTTAATAGAAAATCAAGTTGGCCTCTTTTATACACTCTTTTTTAATTCCTAAGTGATTCTTCGACTCTTTTTTGAATTAATGAATTTTAAAATTAATTGTTACTGATTAAAATATTATATGATAAATCATTGCTCTACATAATACTAAAAAAAAGTTGTGTATAGGTTAATAAGAAATTTCTTTGCAAACGATTATATACATCTTCCATAGACATGGTTTTTATTAAAGGCTGTTTGATATTCTGTCGTAGTTTTCGAAACCATTGCTTCTTTTAGAAGCAGGGATAAGAGCATAGAGGGGGAGGGAAAAAAAGAAAATATCCTTTATCGCCTCCATCTCGATCAGGACTTTTAAAGAGGCTCGTTCGACGAA